CCCCCCCGCCCCCAACCCCCAATTTACTTTTTTATTGCAGATTCGGGGTCCTCTAGTGCAGCGCAGCACAGCCCCACCTTCGAACAGGTCTATGCCGTGCTAGAGGTTGGATGCTAGGCCTTGGGAGGTGTCTGTCGTCATACTCAACCAGTGAGGGGATCGGATGGCTTGTGACAAGCCCAAGTACAGTCTTCCTCCAGGGGGTGTCATTCGTGACCTGTTACATCCTCATCTTTCATAACTCTGGTTCTCCAAAGTCTTCTGAGGCCTATGGTTACAACTTACAAGAGAATGAAGCAGAGGCACATCCCTGCAAAAGAAAACGGCCCACTTATACCCAGCCAACCCTTGATTAAACGAAATCTAGCACCGGGAGTCACTACTACCTTCTTCCCCTGAATACAACATACGGTCATTATAGCTGTATTTGAGGCATCTTTCAGTCTAGATACAGCTATAGTAGCACTTAAACAACTCCAGCCATGGACCCAGCACCTCTTACTGCTGGCAGTAAGGGGTTCATGACTCTTGTCAGTTCATTGATTACTTGTTGCAATTAATTGACTATTTGAAGAGGAGGAGGAAGGAGGAGGAAGGGGAGAGAAAGAAGAAGTGTTAGGAAGAAAAGGGGGATGACATCAGTTCAAACTAGAGTATTGCTTCTTCTTCTTCTTCAATCCTTTACATCATACATGCAGCGCATCACGTGCGTGCAAGTTGCGCACGTACGCCGCACAGCGCATGCTCACACGTGCGCGTGCACGTGATGCGGCGCATTTACAATTTTTTATTATTTTTTTTTAATAAAAAAGGGTAAGCCGTGGTAACCAAATGTGTCCCTCCATTTTGAAATTGTAAGCGGAGAAAAAAAATATTTTGGGCCCACTTCGTACTACTCATTGGATCCATTCTCTTTTCCAAAGCTCCTCTGCAAAGAATCAGCAGGGTTCCCATGCATTTGGAAGGATGTTTATCGAACTGCTGAAAGACAACGCGTAGGCCAGCAATATATCCTGGATTCGGATTCAGGTCTGTGTTCCAATCGTTATGGGTTACGAAAGTACTACAAACAGTACAGTAGCTGTCTCGTTTTTTATTTTTCCTTTTCTTACGTGCAGTGGCCCTAAGGGCCTGCTCCACTCATCACAAAAGAAAAACATATGCCTTGTATGGTTCCAGTTTCTAGGAGAAGATTCATTCCAGTTTTGCACATTTGGTGAGAAGTGGAGTGAAGCCCTGAAAATTGCATGCCGAGTTAGTAAGTCGTTAACACATAACTGCTGAAACACGGACCTGAATTCGAGGCTACACCATATATAGCTGGTCTGCTCCCTCCTTACTACCAAGTCGAGTGACTACCCTTCTCCTGCCGACGGGACCCTTGCCAATTTTTGGCAGGGACCTTTTGAAACTACCCGCAGTGGTTGTCTGAATAATTTGAAAGGCCTCTCTCTCTCTCTCTCTCTCTCTCTCTCTCTCTCTCTCTCTCTCTCCCCCCCCCTCTCTCTCTCTCTCTCCAGCATGCATACACACATCACGGTTGCTTCTTCTTTCTTTCTTTTTTTTTTTTTCCCCGCGCATCTGCAATCAGCCCGCCACGCAGCGCAGTTCACCTATGCGCCGCAAGTATGGTTTATATTCTGTTCCGCTCTTTTTCTCTTTCTGCTTCTTCTTGAATTCAACTGCGTTGCATTGTCTCAAGATTGACTTTTGCATTTGTAGATGAGCAGGACCATATTTTCTTTGGCTGGCAGCACCGGCAACTTTGGTCCGGTAACAGCATTCATCTGAAACCGAGTGGTATACTCACTCCTCGGAAACGTGTGCGTGCGAAAGGTTCTGATGGTTGGAAGAGGGGGGGGGGGGAGAAGAAGAACAACGTCCAGTCAGCTCCAAGAAGAAAAACCTCTGCGACCAATTGGGCGTCTTTCAAGGGGATTCAGGAGTCCTTTCCTTCCTTTTGTTTTCTGTGTACCCTCTAAGGGTCTACAATGTCACACTATAGCAAGCCACAGGATGGCTGCATATGCACAGCGGAGAGTGCCTGGCCGTCACCTTCTGAGATAGCATTTGCGAGCAAATCTCACCCACAAATTTCGGGATCTCCCAACTTCAATTTTGAGCACTATTTTTTAGTGCATATTTTTGTGTGAAAAACGAAGAGCATTTTAGTGCGGAAAACGAAAAACATTGGGCCTCGCTGCACTACTCTCCAAATGTGCAAAATGAGACTGAATACACCGCTAGAACACGGAAAGATACATTCAACATTGCCATCTTTTTTGTCTTTTGTGCATGTGGGGAGCAGTGCAGCGAGGCCTATTCTCGAGCCTTTTTCTTTTTTTTTAACTGCAAAACATTTGAGCTAAAAAAAGAAGTAAAAAAAGTGCACAAGGATGTGCATTGCTAAAAGACTGCAAAACATTTGAGCTAAAAAAAGAAGTGAAAAAAAAGTGCACGAGGATGTGCATTGCTCCATTTGTACCTCCTGCAAAGCACTTTCGTTCACAACACCGTCTGGCCTTTGGCCAGCTTCGTCTCTTGAAATGCTTTTCATTCCTTCTGCATCAGCTATCCTCTGCTTGAAGAAACACAGAGCAGCACACAGGCAACCAGATAGGGTTAGGGAAGATGTCTTTTTCTTGTTTTTTTTTCTTTTTGCCCTTCTTGTTTTGGGACCATCAATGGGATGCAGCACCAATGCCCCTGTGCATTATGGCCAGTTCAGTGGGATGCCCTCAAGAACCCGCCCCTTCCAAGTTCGCCCTTCTAGCAAGCACGCGTCAATCTCAACCACTCGACACACCTAAGAATAGGGCACCCCATTAGACAGGTCAAAACTAGCGGCATCCCATTATTAATTTACTATACTATTCTTTTATTTTAAATTGTAACCTTATTTCTACTGGGAGGCTTCTAGGCCTCAGTGCCAGAAAGTTAGCAGGCAAGCCCTGAGTGAAGGCCCCGCCCGACCAGGCAACTACCTCGTAGGCCCTACGTCGGGATTCCAACCGAGTAGGTGCCTCGGCCCGGTTGCAGACCTGTACGTCATGCCCACCGGAGCGAGGCTTCCGCATATACCCCAGACACAAGGGAGGCTGTTTGCCAGGCAGTTCAGTCACCTCATCTCCTGCAGTGCTCAGTTTCCTGAGCCGGTCTTACCTCGCTGCGCTTTGCGGTGGTCGGAGGCTGAAGCATCGTGCCACTCACAGTTGCACCATAACCAATAGTTGTGTTTCTTACGGGCCTCGTACCAACTTCCTGTAATGCTGTCGTGTGCCGCTGAGTCTGTGCGTGCGCGGTCCCGGAATTTGTAGGGATGCGGACCTCGTTCTTACCGCCAGGTTTTTGTTGAGAACCACCCCCCCAAGCTGCTACCACCATTTCTCCTTCGGTCGGGGTAGCAGCTGGGTCCTCCTCAAGTGTAGGGGGCTGTTGTTGAGTGGCAGCCCCAAAGTGTTGCTGCTGTCCACATAGGGCGATGAGGCGGTTGGAGTTTATCCTAGAGACCACTCATCCAAACCAGAGATAAGAGAATCCCGCGCCTTTGATACTACAAAATGTTTCTTGCTCAAGTACGACAAGGACGGCAATGCGGTGCAGCGGCCTAGACAAACATTTGTGGATGTCATGAAGATTTTGCCTAACCCTGTTGAAGGCAAAGTGCAGTACAACCACAGACCGCTGAACGAGATGCCAGTTGCCTCCATCAAGAATGCAATGGAGCAGATGATCGCACGGTGATTGCAAGGACCCACGACATCAAAGAGATGATTTCCAGTCTCCCGCACGATGAAGTGAGAGATGCAGTTCATTGGTTGGTTGACGAATTCTAATCCAAAAATAAGAACTTGATCAGAAGACTCAGAATAAAAACTCGAGGGAAGGGGGAGATTGCCTGCGAAGATCCGCAATACGCGGTGAATGTCTAAACTGGAAACGTGTCGACAAAAAAATTAAAAATTTTCCCAATACCTTTTTATAACATCAACTATTTTGTTCCTTTCAATACTTCGGCCTCCAGTACGCATGAGCTGGCTCCGATCCTCCTTTAGACGTACTTGGACATTTTTTCACCTAGATTCATAAATGTTTTTTTTTTGCTTGGTACCCCGCTAAGTAGCTCTCGGCAGCGGGATACAGAACTCTGATGTCACAAGTACGCGGGAATGAGCTTGGCACCTATTTTTGTTGTACGCTGTCTTTTGTTTCTTTTTCTTTTTTAAGCATAGATTTTAAAAATGTGTTTAGCGGCTTGGCACTCAGGCACTAGTAGGAACGCGCTCAGTAGTTTCGAATAGCAGGACGGTGAATCCCTTCATGGTCAATTTTGGGTGCTTAATAAGCTGAAGCGGACGCTTCAAATCAGACTGAGCAGTAGTGAGGAGAAGGTCTGTGAGCACAGGCTGTCCGTTACTCTCTTTATGTAAACCTCTACATTGTTAATTTGGAGTTTCATCTCATCTCAGCTCTTATAGACAGGAGAATAAAATCGGACATTGGTGCCTTGAGACACTTCACTATCCTACTGGTTGGGAGATGGGGCTCTATAGCAGCCCCCCCTTGTTTATGCGTCTAGTGCCCCTAGGGCTGGGCTGACCCCCTCCTCTTATCTTCTCTTTTTGCGACATTTGCGTATAACATGCTTGCCGGTGATAAGCAACCGGACTGATGCCCCCCAGAATAGAAGGGGATTGTTGTTGCAAACACACGCACAAAAAAAAAAAAAAAGACAAACGACACCTCACTATCGTCTGCAACCATGAATGTCATTGGGATGACAGATGGATTCTGCTTGGAGGTATTCCAGAGGGGATGCAGGCCGACAAAGGCTTGGGTGATATGCCACAGGCAATCAGATGCTGCAGTGTTTCAATGATATGAGAGGAAAGAAACAGCTTGGTGCTTAAGCGAAATTTCCTCTCTGATCAGGCCACTGAAATCGAAAATCCAATACCAGATACGTTTATCTATTCACACTTTCACAGTGATTGGAGGAGAAAGGTGCTGAAGCCTCAGAATAGGATCGCAGGAGTGGAAAGGTTTGCAATTACATGGACGAGAGGGAACCAACTCGCAAGGATTATATTGAGCAGTGTTAAGCACACAGAGTGGCTGTTTAAAGTTTAAGGCGTAGGAAACACCTGAGCACTCGGTTTCTATTCCCAGAAGACGAGAAAGGCAGATAGACTGTGGGGTTGGAGGGATTGCCACTCTTTTTGGAATCGGGCTCCGGTTCCCACTGCTCGAGGTAGTGTGGTGGGTAATGCCAGCCTGTGAACGGCTGTTAAACCGACAGTACACAGCTCCAACCTTGGAAGATTTCTTCATGGCTCGCTCCTTAAATTTTGAAGGCTCGAGGCTACCAGATCACAATGGCTGGCGGCACCAGCCAAAAAACAAAGAAAGTGTGCGACTGGCCATTCAGCAAAGCTTGCCACGCAGTGCAACGCCACCAGGCCCGGGCGTACTGGAGGTTTAAGGTTGGTTAGTTAAGGGGCTAGGTAGTATCCCTATTGAGCTAATCCAGTCAGTAGATGTGCAATGTCAGCAGGTAGTAGGTATGTCTGACACTGGTCTAAATGATACCAGGTCCTTCCCATGGAGGTAGACCCTGTGCGGCGGCACCGGGTAATGCTCCCAGCTTAACCAGGTAGACTGTGGGGACCCCGGCCTCAAACGTTTGCAATGAATGCAGTCCTTGTTGGAAAAAAAAAACACATCACTCCTGTCTTTCCCCGAATACAATGCACCCTCATCATGAGGGTATACGACTGGAGAGATACCTTGTATACATACATTCATGATGAGGGTGCATTGTGTTCAGGGGAAGACGGTCACACGCTGCCCACATGGCTAAATGGTACACCCATGTTAATGCTGACGAAAAGATCATGAGCTCGAACCCAGACAGAGCTAGGTGAAAAGAAGAAGGCTATCGTAAAACCCGCCTTAGAAACGTGATTTTTAGGAATGTGGGGTGATTAGACTGTTCCTAAAGCTTCTTACGAGACTCTGACAGCAACTCAGCTGCCGGGGGCCAGCAGCAAGGCCACAAACACAGACTTAGAAGTAGTTCAAGTAGGCTAACTTAGGCAGGGGTGAGGGTTGGTACATCCTGCCCTAGGGAAGTAATCAATGCCGTCCACTCGGGCCTATCAACCATAATGGGGAGGACCGTGTGCGAGTCCTTATTGTATTCATTGTTGACTTGCCGGCGCAATAGGAACTGGACTGTTGGTCCCCAGAATGGTAGGAGCCAGAACCAAGAGGTTCTGTTTTTTTTTTTTTTTTTTTTTTTTTTG